AAATAGGTACCACTGTGTTAAGATGTGGAGGTGAGACACTCTCCATAGAAAAAGTTACTCTTGGAAGTCACTATTTAACCACAAAGTTCTACTTGATACTTTCTCACTTATTTGGATGAACCCAAAGGAAGGAGATTAGAAATTATCAAGGAAATAGGGGTCAGTCTAGTTTTATCACTCAGGATTTTGGTCTTCATACAGTGGTAAACTGTGTGGTATTGAGGCAACTTCTTTGGAGGATTTGGCTCTTCCTAAGTTGGTGCTTGCCTTTGTTCCTGACCACACTATGATGAGTGAAAAAGTGTTTTGCTTCTTTAGCACTCCAGGATTTTTAATCCAGTAAAATACTGTATCAATATCTCTTTCCTCTCAGAAAAGTCCATGTTCCAGGCCCCTTTCAAGCCCTTAGGCAGAATGACCACACAGTGCTTGTGGGTTAAGTGAGTGAGATTTCAAATTCACTAGTTTTCCTGGTTGCTTTTTGCTCAGACTTTCCTAAAAAGGTCTTTGTAAAGACTGCAGAGATGTCTCCCTTTTCTCTGAATGTTTAGAAATCACCACCAGAAGTGATACAGACACTCATACACCTTGTTCAGGCAGCAGCAGACTGTGTGGGGACTTCTGACGCATAAATGAGAATGCAGATCATCCGGGGCTCTCATTAAGCTTGGATTTGATCATTGCACAATGTACACATGTGTCAAAATATCACATTGGACCCCATAAATATGTACAATTGTGATGTGTCCATCAAAAATAAAAATAAGAGGGAAAAATGGACTCAGTGGGTCTAGGGTACTGCATGAGATTCTGCCTCTCCAACAGGCTTCCAGGTGCTGCTGCTGCTACCTCATGGGACACTCTTTGAGTAGCAGGGCCCTAGTGAACACCTTGCAAGCTACTGCCAGGCCATGGAGTGGTGGGAGAAATGTAAGGGAGATGAGACCAAATACATCCTGGATTCATCACCTAATCTCTCTGAACTTTAGATTCCTCATTTATATGGTGGAATCAATAAAATTATAAAATGTATATCACAGAGATGCTGTGTAATTAGCTAATGTTCTCTAAAAAGGAGGACAAGGCCATCACCCCAGAAGATTGCCATATTCTACCCTAAAATGACAGGGTCACTTCATAGTGTTTTTCTTGCGGGCTTACAAGTTATGTGTATGTGATAATGTGATGTTCTGATCCATTCCCATCTTTTGTCTTGCAGTGTTTCAAAACAGTTATCATCTGGTTCTCACATGCTTCTGGATGCTAAGTTTCATGCAATGTAAGGATCCTTTCATTCAAGTTTTTCAACCCCAAGTTGCAATTCTGCTTAAGATCCCTTAGTGGATATAGTTTAGGGAAAAGAGCTACTTCTTTGCAGAACAGCTTTTTAATGCAACATATACAGTTCTAATTCCCACTGGGAGGCGGAAACATTACAGAATGGAAACATTAAGGAATGTCTATTTGATTTGCACAAAGATACAGTGCAATTCAGCTCCAGTAGCAATGAGTTATCAGGAAAGACAGGAGACAGGACAATAAATTATTTTCATGTTTTAAGTTAAATGTACAAATCCTCATGACGTGTTTAATTCCTGAGTTTGGAAAGTATTATACAGCGACTTACCTTGTTAAACCTGAGGAAAGCTTGGCTTAGCAGTTAACTAGCAATAAGGAATGGAAAGCATCCATGCTTAAACTCTTCTCAAACAATGAAACAAAGAATATTAGTTCATGGTCCTCAGCATTTTTCAGAAAGAATGCCTGGATTAATTCTGATAGATTCCTTGCAGGTCATTATATTTTCTGGAAACATCTATGAATGTCAATAGGATTTATTTAAGTTTAGGGAAGTAATGACCTTGCTTTATCTCTATCTTTGACTCTTCTCAAAGCAGAGAGACCTAAAAATCCTTTCAAAAGGGAATATTTTCCATTCTTGGTTAAATCTTGGGAGATGCCTGAAGTGTCCAGAGAAAAGCAGGAAGTGGAGGAAATACTGATTCATTGGGAAGAGTGATCCAGAGCAGTACATTGCACAAGGAGTCCCTGTGTTTTTCTGGACTAAGTTTTTCTGCAATCAGAGGAGGGTAGAGAAAGAATTATTGATCTATGGACAGTGGGGTTTGGTCGAGCCAATTTTGCTATAATAAACTTCCTAAAGGACTCTACTCCACCTGCTCTGGCTCAACATTTCTGTTGTCTTTGTTTTTGTTATATATTTTTTCCAGTTATTTTGGTCCCAGACGGATTAGGCATTTTCCCAAGAATTACCAAACAGCTGGTTGTAATGCTATTCTCAATTTTTCCCTTCTCTAAATTCAGCATAGGTGTATGCATAAAAATATTTATCATTTATTTTCTATATGACCAAAACTTACCAGCAGTTATTTGGGAATGTCATAAAACAAATGTTACCAAGTGGAATATAGAACATTGTGGGATTGAAAATTTCCACATGTAAAGCCAAATTCTGAATCCTTTGTCTTGATAGTGTCCAAGTTGGTCTCTTATTCTACTTTCAGGAAATGTCTTGTTAATCTTTGCTCATTATGAGGATATTTTAAAAATGGAACTTAAGAAGTTTTTCAAAGTTATTGGATGGCGGGGTGACACCAACTTCTTTAACAAGAACAGAGCTAATATAATAAAAGCCATCAGGTTTGGGATATTTTATGAAAATGTTTAATTCAACTGTTTCTTTGGAATGTAGTAGTCATAGTTTGGAATTTAAGTTACAGTTCAGTTTTATGTGGTTTTTATGCTACTCAGAGTCTTAGAATACAAATGTCATTTAAAGTTAAGGCTTTGCTGTTCATTTTGAAACAACAATTTACAAGTGTCATATTGTCATAGAAAATAAAAATTTCTGTAAAAAAAATTTGCACAAAGTTTTATGATGGTACAAAACATGAAGCAATAATATACCAGTAAAATGAAAACATTTTACTACAGAAAGTTTTATAGATCTCAATAAAGAAAAAATATGTTATTTTACACCTTTAAAAATTACGAAACAATCTAAAACAATATAAACTGAACATTTTGTAACACTGCCTTTACAAATTAATAACTTTATAAACATATAATTTTTAAATATATTTATCAGTGCAAGATACTTTAAAATTTAAAGTTGCAGTATCATTTTTCCTTGGCTGAGGACAACTTTGAAGTCTGTTGCCTTAAAAACAAAATCAAGTCTTACTTAATGCTTTTCTCCTGGTATGATTATAACAACTGAATGAATGCCTCTGGGAACAAAAAAACTATTCTTCTTTCCCGGTGATCGATACTTTCCTGGAACCAAAAGGCATTCTCAATCCCATTAAAACAAGATGAATGGGACTGTGGCGTCCACGATGCAAATGTGACTCCCAACAAATGTATCTGAATGAGCCCTGCAGTAATGCAGGAAAGGAGAAAGGTCTAAAAATTCTTATCCACACATGGTGTGACAAAAAACACACCAAAACAACCAAATTGTCTTTTGGTTCATTAACATGCTGCCTGTGAGATATTTATTTCTTTGTGTTGTTAGGGGCTTAGGTCTTGCCAGCTCTAGGCAGGCTTTTTCTTTATGAGCCACTGGAAGTTTCTAGAAGCATTCATTCAAGTCGATTTTTTTTAGAGTTGCTGCGGATTGGTTTTTGTCAAACATTTGTTTTGACTTTAGGTCCCCCCACCCCCACCCCCTTATCTTAAAATACTCTGCCCCCAGGCAACAAGATTTATAGTTTCTTTCTTAAATTAACTGTTCTCTTTTCCACTTCCCTTGTCTGACTCAATATCAAAACAAGAAGGTTCACATGGATCATTTTTGCATATTTGGATGTAAAATTTTTATGTTTTTTTTTTTTAGATATTTGGAAGATTTTATTTCAGTCCTTCCTTTAGGTCTCATTTGAAAGCCAATTAGTATTATTTCCTCCCTCAACTTATCACTATCTTCCATTAAACACAAACATTTCTATCAAACCTCATTCTGATCAGAACTTAGACAGACAAATGGCTTAAGGAAAAAAGATACTGTCACTTTAACCAGTTAACGAGAAAACCAAAGTTAGACTTTGGAGGGCAAAGTTAGGAATTTCCCTTATTTATTTATTTTTAAACATAAAGTCTAGTAAAATTGTTTGCCATTACCAGCAGGTTAAAGCTGCAAGTTTCTTTTCTGGACAATGGCAAATGCTTAAATTCTAGGAGAGAAAAAAAGACAAGAGGAGAGAAAGAGCAAAGAGTTTACATTTGAAAATACATTCCATATGAAAGAACAATAAGAGAGAATATTGCAGCTTTATACAAAAGGGTCAAGAGACATGGAATTGAACTACAGACAAAGCAGAACAATTAAGCCACGTTGCCAAATCTTCAGAGCCCTTGCCTTCCCGGGGGGCTGACGTCTCACACTAAAATATACTTTCTTCTTGGTCAGTGGGCCACCAGGTTTGATTAAAGAGTAGGGCTTTCACCAGTGAGAAACAGAGTGGGTCGTTAATGTAACACAATGAACCAGTACAAACAGAAAGGCACTTGAGAGGACATCGACTAGCCAGTGCCAAGGATTTTTGTCGCGGTTGTCAGCAGTACACCCAGTTGCCAGCAGTGTTTGGTGATGGCACGGTTTCCTGTATGGAGTTCACGAGCACGAGACTTTAGTACAACACTGGAAAACATCAAGAAAATTTGACGGTATTGCTTCGTAAACAGAGCTGACACACGATATCGGTACTGAGGCTACAGTACTTGCAAAAGAAAACATCCTAATCCTTCTTTGCCTATGCACGACGTGAGCAATTATACACAAGAACAACTTCAGGAGTCCACCGAAATGCAGTTATGCTAATATATTCTGGACACTGGGGTACAGGTAGCATGTCCATCAAAAGGGCCCCACTGAATACACTTGGTGCCAGCATCTTGGATTTTGCACAGTTTCTGAAAAGAATCCATCAAAGGAAGAAGAA